TATATATATATACTATGATATTGTTTGTAATTAAAAATTATAATATGTACCAAGCAAACGATAACATACATCAAATAAGTACCAGATGGCACAATAGGCTACATGTTTCTTCTGTGAGATTATCTTCCATTCAGAAGGGTGTGCATTTTACATCTATTAGAATATTTAACAACCTGCCACAAAACATATATATCTTGAAAGACAATATTAATATTTTTAAACAAAGACTAAAGGATTTTCTGGCTTCAAAAGCATTTTACTCGGTAGGTGAATATATGGCAAGTAGGTAATTTTATGCACTGTTACAGTCTGTTTTCTAAGACTATGTTCTAGCAAAGAATTGTAAGATGACTGATTTTTATACTGTTGTACCTATCAATGTTATAATTGTTGAATATTTTATTGTCTAGACCAGGTTGCACATTGCAATGTCAGTTTGGATGTGACGAGTTCAATATCCAGTCCGGTTTCCGGACAATGGATCTGTGAAACCATGTAGCTATGTTATGTTATGTTATGTTATCTAGTCTCCTGTCTAATGGATGCTGTGGTTTCTTCTCCAAGGTAAAGCAGTCAAAGTCATGAAGTTACTCACCTTCATCTAGTGCCAAGTTCAAGAAATATGTGGCACTACACCTACATTCTCCTTATGTCTTCATGGAATGGTGCTTAATTAACCACACGCTTCATCCTTCTAGTGGTAGAGCTCTCTGCACTAAAATTCTGAAAGCATTTTTACTCTCCATACCTGATCATTATATCTAGCCCATTATAACCTCCTTGGTTTGACAAGCAATGCTGTTTGAGCTGTATAAACTACAATGTTCCTTGCGTCACATATTCCATTTCCCATTTAGTTTGTCTTTGATATATTCAAGTATACTCCAACATACCATTGCTGTGAAGAATGCTGCATGGCGTGGTTTCTCTGTATATCGTTCATACTGGTCCAAACTGTCCTGCAGCTTCAGAGTTAGACTATCATAGTTCTTTCGCACAACATCTAATATCTAAACAATGAAAACATTTGTAAACTTTCATTTTGTATTTTGTATATATATTCACTGTGAAGTTAATGACAGAGCACAATACAATACACTTCCAATGTCATAGTTCAAATTATACAGTGATGTCAATAAGCATGCACGAATTTCAAACAAAATATCTTGTCCAGCTTTTTAAAAAAAATACTGTGGTAAATGTCACTTTGAGGAGGAAATAAGGAATAGGTGGACAACATGAATGATGAGACAGTGGTCTTAATAAGTATGGATTGAAAATTAATGCTGACAGTTGTGTTTGTATGATAAGATCCATGGAATGTACATAAAATTAAATGGAATCAGGTTAAAGTCCCCCCCCCCTTTGCAAGCAGTCTGTGATCCATTACAAATGTCAGGTTATACATTTAACCCTTTGAAGCCAAAAATTTATTTACATTCAATTGCTGCTTTACTAAAAATACTGTTAATTACAAAGAGCAATCTGTTCATGCTGTTTAGGGAAATTAACTGCTGTTTATTCTGAGAATCATATGAAAACCCTTATATACACTATGGGCAAAATACAATTTTTTTAAATGTTAAAATTGGTACTACCCTAAAAGATTAACATTACTCCCTCCCACAGTTCAGAATGCTGGGGTCAGACTCTGGAAAGACATCAACTGTTCTGGCAGTTGAGGCATGGTGGTGCCTGGGTACCTGTATGAGTGCTGGGATGACACCACCCTGGCTTTTATTTTAATGCTGATGTCAGACATAAATAAATGATGGCTTATTTACTTTCCAACTTCAGTAGGTATATGTACATTGCATGAGCTGTTTGTCATTCAATTCTCCTTCTAAAACAAGAATATCCCCATATCATGATTCGTGAACGCCTCTTTCAACCCAGATCTGAATGCCAGACCTGCCTGAGACTTATATTTTGGACAACACCATGGACATCAAGAAACCTACACAATCCCACTAACATAATATAAAATTCTGGTAGAATTTGTAAAGCCTATTTATTATTGTAGATTTCAAATTCTACAAACCTTGTTTGGTTGTCTTATTTAGGTTATATTAACTTATACTCCAACAATAAAATACATTTCAGCTCATGGAATAGCATGCTGGATCTACCACAGACGGTCACAGGATCGAATTGGTGGCAGTGGTGTGATGATAATGATGGAAAGAACTTCATCAGGACAGATTTTGTCTACACTGAATTTATTTGAAACAACCTCAAAATTTCACACCTTCACTATGTATGTAATTGTTGACTTAAAAATAATATTTCTTATAGAATTTGTAGGTATGCTAGGATCTATCTCCAATGTCAAGAATCTAGTCTGAATGGTACATTAATTATCACCATCAAACCAAATATTAAATACAGATTTAATTGTTCCTTGCATCCTGTTGTGTATTTTAATGAATATTAGATTTAATTTTACCGACCACACAACACGTTTTTTTTTAATTTTACCAACCACACAACACGTTTTTATAAATAAATATCTGAATATAAAACACAAATTGTTAAATTGCAACGCAAACATCCACTTCAACAGAACCTGTATCGATCTTCAGCTAACACCAAGATACGCAAAAACCAGAATAACACATATTATTTGAGCGTGGACCTGAACAGGATACAGGATCAAAAATAAGTGGAAAAATGAAATGTGTTTACGTGTGATTGTGCAACTGTGTTCGTACACCTGAGGATGACCTCTTGAGGTCGAAACATGTAGTGTGACAGTAAATAAAAAAACGTGTTGTGTGGTCGGTAAAATTAAATCTAATATTCATTAAATACAGATTTCATGCAGTAGATATTTCAGTTTTTGTCAGAAAGCTGTAAATTTATTTTACAGTTTAATGGTACATATTTATATCTAAATAAACTTTCAACAATCTGATCAGAACTTCACACTACACTGAATCTTCCTGCCCAGCTAAAGTTTGATGCTTTAATCATTATTTCTTTCATGTTCTATGTAAATAAGTTAAGAAATGTATGCACAGAATAACAATTTTGGTATGAATGCTCTTCTTTTTTATTAGCTGACACAAACAATTTAAACTTTGCTACAGTAATGGTTATACAGATTGTTCAATTACATTTTACACAGTTATATATACATTTAGACCCATAAATTTAGGTGGAGGATGCTTCTTTTGTCATCTACAATAAAAGACTCTGATAATTTCTTGTGTTTGGATCACCAGAGTTGACTGTTGAACATCTAAGTTTGAAGTGTAATAATTCTGAGGTGTGCACTGTCTTTTGTTTAATTATCTCAGAAAATGTGGGACTTATAGAAAAAGTTTATTGGGAAAAATAAAGAGATCACACAATATAATGTAAGGAACAATAAATTTTTGTAATTTTCATGAATTTAGAGACAAACAGAATCAATAAAAGTAATTCTCTATTACTAAATTATGGACCACTTAAATTATATAAGATTCAGTTTACCTGGTCTTCAGAGGGAGTGGACAATCCTTGACTAGCCAACCATGCATCAATTTTAGGAGAGAAGTGGTTGATAATGGCCCTGAAAATAGTATTAAATGCAGTACTCTTACCAATGCAATCATGTTTCCTTCCAACAGCAACTGACACTCTACTGATATTCATATAGCTGCTTTCATCTCACTAGGTCATTCATACACTCCAATTTAATTTCTAAAATTGACTTCTGTACCTGATTTGTTTGTTATGTATTCACTTACTGTATGATGTAGCAACTGCTGAAGACATGTAATGCTGTCTTATACTTTTATAACCATCTCCATTGTGTGGCAATGTCTGTGATGTTAATAATTAATACAAAATACAAAGTTTTGGAGATGGTGAAAATGACCATATACAGATTACACTCTAGCACAAATGTTAAAATTAGCATTTCCATGTATTTAAAAAGCTGTCAAAAGAAACATAAAAATTTTCAATCAATAAATCAGCTTTGGAATGTGAGCCATAATCTTTATGACTTACATCACTGTAAAGCTAATTTGCTTTGACATACATTTTCTTAATATAGTGTTTTTATCTCTGTGTAAAAGCTGCAGCTATCCTGACTTTTCTATGGTTTCTCTACGCTCCTGTAGGCAAACTTTTGGATGGTACCTTACAATAGGCCACTTTTTTTTTTTAATTTGCTTAGTGGAGGGTGGAGTCCAACTGGGTCCACTCGGCACGGCTGCCACAGACTGGCTTATTGTAGCCTGCCCTGGTTGATTATGATGATGGAGAATTTGGTGGAATGAAGATTGGCGCAGGGGAAACCGAAGTACTCAGAGAAAACCCGCCCCAGTGCCACTTTGTCCACCACAAATCCTGCTTGACCAGACCTGGGCTTGAAGGACTAACCGCTTGACCTGTGTCGTCGTCCTAGGTCACATTTACTTCCACTCCAATTCGTAACACATGATCATGTTACCATTCAATGTTTTGTAACCAATGCAGTCAAAATGAGCAGTTAAATTTCTAACAGATAAACAGCAACACTTAATTTTGAATGTTTGATTATCTGATATTTATATTTTGAAAAATCCCAAGGACATAATCTTCTCTTTAAAAAATTATTCACAAATTTGATATGCAAGTAAGTGAATGGAGCTAAAACTTTTGTTGTGTAAGGACCAACATTCATGTTGACAAATATGCTTACCTTATATTTATTAAGCTGTTTGTCAGTCTCAAAGCATTGTCCTTAAATTCACCATCAATTGTCGTGTACCTTAAAGCTGAAATGAAGAAGTATAGTTTATAAAAACGTTAGTTTTATTAAATCAAGAACTAAAAATTTAAAACATCAGGTACAAACCCATTGAGTAGAGGTTGTCAAAAACTTGATGCATACGAATCAGTTCATAATACAATTCATCATAGCTGCCTGGTGATGGTAGGAATGTGTCCCCATATGTGATGAACAAGTTGAAAATGTTCACAACCTAAAAAGAACAATTTTTTTCATCAAAGTATATATCAAGAAGAAACAATTTCAATAAACGTGACTATTTTGGACACAGTCCATCTCTTGAAATTTCTTGAAGTTTCAGAAAGTGGATTTGTTTCCTTCATTAAGTGTGGGCAAGAAAACGTTCCTACTCCTTTCGGATCATTATACAGAGCTCATCTCAATTCCTGGATGATGACAGAAGTTCTAAGCAGAGAATATGGCTGGTAACATAAAATATTAATGAGACAGGGATAGAAAAATTGCCAAAATTTGACATTAACAGAATATATACTCTGCTTAGAACTTCTGTTGCCCAGGAATCAAGCTACAACTGAATTAGTGAAATCTTTCTCCTGGTGGTAAGGATAAGTGTTGCTAGGAGGAGACGACCTGTTGCCCCTTACCATCCTAGCCTGACTGATGGCACCCTTTGCTTAACACTGTAGAATAAGTAATCCTGTCACAGGGGTAGAAGAGTGGGAGGTAGGGGGAACACAGGAAGGGAGAGTGGAGGATATTACATGAGAATTCTTTGCTCTGCTCCATTATACCTCTTTCTAATGGGTCCAGCTGAACAGAAACCTTTCCTGCCTGATGGCAGACAGAAATATACTTACTGAAATAAGGTATTAAAAAAAAAAAGGATGATGGACAATATAAAAAATAGTAGTCATGTTTACTGCACTGCACTCTTGTCAAAACATTCCAACTTAGCTTAATATTTGACAACACTGACCTGCACTTGAGAAAACAAATTCAGTCTCATGGAAGGCTCAATATTCTAGTTTCTGCTTCCCATGATTTACTGAAGTTCATTCATGTAAATGTGCAAGACAGACCACAGCTACTTCCTGATAATTCTCTTTATATGAAAACAAAGTGTGATGCTATGTTATTATTTAATGAAACCAGGTGGCAGCAGTAGTAAGGTACATTCCAGTTTACAGCATATAATTGTGTAGTTGTGTGCCTCTCATTCATACTGCTACTGATTTACTGCTTACACACATCTATTGTTGGCAAATATTAATCAGCATATTATACTGTATAAAGGAATTATTTTTTCTTTCTGTCCTGTTAATTATACATCATCAAAATCTGTTTCAATCAAAAACTATGCACCTGAGTTTTGTATGTAGGTGGTTCGAGGTTGACCTGGACTTTTTTTTTTTAACAAAAAGAATATACATGCCAGAATTGCCAAACTCTCACTCCTTTCAAAGATATTCTTCCTTAACCAACACATTTTCTCCAGTATCCTGGCAAGTTGGTGATGCCAGCAGCATAAAGAATTTCATCCTGATTGTAATAGCCAGTTCAGGACACTGTGTTTTGAGTTCACCATTTGAAATTTCTATCCTCCTAGGTGCATTTTCATTGGTCCAAACAAATGAAAGTCACTGGAGACTAAGTCAGGGCTGTAAGGAGGTTGGTTCATGATTTCCCAGCCCGCTGTTGCAATGTCACCTTTGTAACATTTGCTGTATGTGGATAAGTGTTGTCATGCATTAGGAATCTTTAAGTTTCCCAGGTCTCTCTTTCCAAATCGTTTCATGCACATTATTCAAAAGCAAGTTACTATAATAATGTGCATTAATTGTTACACCATTTGGACAAAAATCAACATGAATCACTACTCCGTCCGAAACCCAAAACACACTTGTCATAATTGTGCTGACAGCTGTGTCTTGAATTTTTTGGGCCTTCAGAAAACCAATCACAGACACTCCCACATAATAGGGTCTCTTCCCCATACTGTGCACTTAACCTACAAGGAATTTCTACTGGTTTCACTTCCTCTTTCACTAAGAATTTGATGATAGTGTTGTTGTACACTAGGACCGACAAGGTCTGATGCCATCTCATACTAGCTCAAATGTGCAGAAGCACTGCCACCTGAGAGGCAGTGTGTGCAGTGCTGCCACCAACTGACCATAAGAGTTTTATTTTTCTCGTACCCGGGTCTTCAGGAAAAAAAAAAATGAAATCCAGGTTAACCTAGAACCAACCTCACACATACCTGCTTTTACAATGAGCCACTTTTGGAAAATATGATAAAGTTTGATTTTACCTGATATGTAAAATACGGGTCATTGTAGTGACATCGAAATTTTCTAGCTAATTCCAAGTCTTTACCTCTCTTCAATATAAAAAACACTGAAATAGGTGGTTTGGAAAGTAAAACAACTAGACAGAAACAGACAAGATGCTACCATCGTGTGTTCATTTTACACACTGGGTGCAAGGTTTGACTACTTCCTTATGAATTTTCATGAATACCTCACTTGACATCAATTATGAGTGCAACAAATCTATTTGGCAATAACATCCTGGAAGTGTTTTACTACTGAGTGGAAACAAACTACTGAACCTTACTGTAAGCCAGGTCAATCCCATTCATATTGGAAAGGAACACTGTAATTTATTCCTGTTAGTTATTATCCATCTCACATGCAACTTACTTTTTAAAACCTTTGAAAGTTTTAAACGTTAAAAATCGTTTCTGAATCACTGGTGTATGCACACTATATATTTTGATCAACATTAGTCATCTCCAGGTGACACTAAAGTTGCTGATGAAACTGATGTGCGTCTGTCCTAAGTTCAATTTTAGGGGTATGCCCTTGTCTATGTGTCCATGTGTCATGTGATGCTGGGTAGATCTGCCTACTGTGTCATGTATAGCTACACCTGAGAACCTCAACTGTGAACACACTCTTATTATATTATTATTTTTTGTTGACAGCCACCATAATACATTATGTAGCAGTTTACCTGAAGTGCTAGGTGGAAGATATTCATCTTCTTTGCCAAATGATTTTCATTAGCAAGAAGAAACTTTAATAGTGTAATGAGGGCTGTCCAGAGTTCCTTCCACTGGTAGTTGAGTCGTACTCGGCAACGTTTCTGATAGCACAGCACCCGGTGTATCACCCCCACACAATGCAAATATAACTCCATGGGTAGCTTCTTCATCATATGACTCATTATGAATTCCACCAATAAATCTGCAACATGTGTATTTCCTACAATCCTCTGTGAAGTTCTACTGCCCTCAACACAAATTATGGCCCCTTGAACCAGTAACTATTCCTTCCCTTTTTCTTTATCTAATACTGTATTTTACTTTATAAATACAACTGTTCCTTGCTATGCACTGTATTTGGTTCTATGTAACCATGATTCTTATGTACTAAGCAGGCTGCTGTAGTGCTAACATTTGTTTTGGGGAGGTGTTCAGTTTGAATCCTGGTTGGAACACTGGCTGACTAAGGTGTTTATTTCATGGTTTCTCTCAGTCCCACCAGGCAAATTCTAGTTTTTTTAATTGCTAGTGGGGTGGGACTAAGTCCCTTGTACTGTAGCCACTTCTGGCCTGTTGTACCAGCCCCAGATGATAGGTGAGGGTGATTGTGGAACAACTGATGGAATGAAGATTGGCAGGGGAAACCAAAGTACTTGGAGAAAACCTGCCCCAGTGCTACTTTGTCCACCACAAATCCCATTTGACCAGATCCAGGATCGAACCCGGGCCACTGTGGTGGGAAGCCAGCAACTAACTGCTTGAGCTACAGTGCGGCCAAATTCTAGGTTAGTACCTTGACTAGACTGTGATCTCTCCTTCCAATCCATTACTGACCAGTCATCCTATTATTGGACTCTGTACGGTCCCAAATGCTGATAATGTTTTAAAATAAACCACCAAAAATTTGTGCAAAAACACTGCACATAGTTTCTCATATATGATTGACCTTGACTACTTTGAAACCAAAATCAATTGCTGCTTGGTAGACCATACTTGGTTATTGAATATCAAACAATGATGAAATGTGTCTCATCAATAAGCCCATTTTGACAAAACTGACATTTAACATTTGGGCCCCTAGTGCTTGTACCTTTATTTTCCAGAAGATCCCACCTATGCATTTTTATTTAGGGAGATGGTCTCCATAAACTATTAAAATTTTATCAGAATTGTTCAAGCTGTTTTCAGGAAAATTTCCATTTTGTGTTTTGGGGACCTATCTGAAGGGCCCCTATTTTTGGAGAGAGAATGTTCATATTCAGAAGGCAGCAACCTATGACAGGTAAACTCTTAAACTACAATCCATCTAACTGTTCAGGCACTAGTGAGGCACATAACCATACACAGAGACTGGGGGTAGAAGAAAAGAAAGAAAGAAAGAAAACAACAAACAACAACATGTATTCATATTTAGAGAGGCTGAAAACGTGTAAATCTATCAGTATATCAAGATATTTTTTTACAGTCAAAATGCTTTTTCATATATACCACTTATACAAGAAAATAAAACAAAGTGGCTCCCACACCATGAGATCCACATCTACTGAAGAAGGGGGCTATAATGGCATCCAAAATTAATTTCCTAGTTTCCACAACAGCCTGTGATAACACATGTTTTATTATTCTGTATTTCAGGATCCTGTTGCAAAACTTTAATTAAAACATCTATGTATCCACAGTCTGTCAATAATGCATTATTGATGGACTGTGGATACATAAGACGTTTTAATTAATACATGTTTTATATTTGATGTACAATTTGTTTTTATACATGTTTCTATATATTTCGGGGGTTTAGTAAAAGTTCAGGACAGGGACCAGATATAGGCTCTTGTTAACATGGTAATGAACCTACTGGTTCCATAAAATTCTTGGACCTTCTTCACTGTCTAAGAAAATATTCGCTTCTGAAGAAGGTGCCTGTCCCATTTAGTTCAGTAAGGAACAGGTAGCTTAGGCTTTGTTGAGTATTAACAGCTATCATGGTTCCCCAACCCCCAATTTCCCATAAAGTCTTGGCCTTTCCAACAACAGTGTTTTTCACACATGTTACTCCCCAGGTTGGCAAGGAATCTACTGTATTATTCTGATTGATTATAAACTCTGTACAATTTACTTTCATTTAATGTTCCAAATGAGTGACTCAGTTATATATCTTTAAGACATTATTATACATTTATTTTATCAAACTCCTTGAAGCATTCTGTAAACTCCAAAGAAATTTACAAACAGTTTCAGAGCCAGTGCACAGCACCTTACTCCCTCACAGAGAGGTCCTTAACCCTTTGTCTGCCATAAGTCAATTAGATCCATTTGGGGTGCATGTGTTAAAATCATCACTGCCAAAGAGATCAGCTCACTGATCAATCAGCAGAGTTAATAGTGACAGCTTAAATTCCTTTTTTCTCATAAGCTGTGAAAAGTTTTAAGCAGTACAAATGCTTACCCAATAGAGTGGAGGCAAGTGGTTGTGAGGGTGATACTTTGTCAGGTGCAACTTTACGATGCCTCATTGGCAGACGGTGTAGTTGTACTTTGAATACAAGATTGACATCATGCATAAGTGAATTGGCATACTGGTCTTCTGATATACATGTGAGTATGAGGAAACACAACTTCACGTTGCTCATACTTGCTTCTGATTTTGTGTCTTGCATCACTATTGAACTGCAACAGCATCAATATTAGAGACTTACGCTTTGTACCTTGGACACTGCAACTAACATCCAAATTAATTATATTCAACAGAAAGGTGGCATGTTTTGTACACTGAAACAAAATCTACAAAAAGGATTCCTCTGCTAAATATGGCCATTACAAAAATGTTTTTATATTATTTTCCATTCCTACGTTCACAAGTCAGCCAATGGACAAGCCAGTTGGATCCAGTCCACATCCTCAAATCCTGAATCTTTAAGATCCAATTTAATATTATCCTCCTACCATAGGTCTACAACGTGGTCTTTTCATTCCATGCTTTCCAACATTTTATGTGCATTTCTCATCCTTCCTATGCATGTTACATATCATGCCAATCTCATCCTCCCTGAGACAATCACAATAACAATATATGATGAAAAGTACAAATTATAAAGCTCCTTATTATGATAATTTCTACAACAGTGATGAACATTTCCACTCTCCTCATGCTTTGCCAAATAGACGTTTTTATCCACATCCAAAAGCCAATCCAATAACCAGAAATGGGATATTTGAGAAAAATTGAGAAGATTATAAGTGATGCGCCCCGGAAATCTAATTAAAAGAAAGATCACAGAACAGAAAGTTCCTATGAAGAATGCCGTCTTCTGGGATGTGTTACAATGTAAATCTTGTGTGAACCGATGTTTTGGAGGAATGTATCGCCTCCATTTCAGGGTAGAAAATCTGCGAACGAGGAACCAGCTTGAGCAGGTGGCTGCAGACTGAGTCTGTCCTGAAGATGGAGGCTCGCTCGTGGATTTTTCTACCCTGAAGATGGAGGCAATACATTCCTCTGAAATGTTGGTTCACACAATCTACATGGCACCACATCCCAGAAGACGACATTCTTCATGGTCACTGCTGTGAAAACCTCAAACCTTACACAGAATGTTCCTAATCTGTTCTTTTTTTCTTACAATCTTTCCTTTTCAATTTCTTGCCAGCTTTTTCCTCTCTTAATGTCTTCCAGTAACTGGCTCAACTATCTTGTTCTGGGGAGTCCCACAAATTTCTTCCCTTTAATTTTAATTCTCAAGCCTTTACTCTATATCCTTGTTCTACCACTCCTATTTCATGGCTAAACCATGGTGATCATTTCTCTTCTAACTCTATCAATACATTTTCTTGTTCCAACATTTCTCTAAAATTTCATTTCTAATTCTTACCCTTTTTGTTTTTCCCTCAATACTAAATTCATATCTACTGCTCAGATTTTGCTTTTGTTTCTTGTTTAAGGATCCATGTTTTGGTGCTATATGTTAGCACTGATTTAAAACACGATTTACATATTTTAGTTCTGCATTGTTTTGGAATCACTCTGTTCCATAATCTTAATTTTATAATTTTATAAAATGTTGGACTATTTTTTATTCATACAGATCTCTACAAAAATTTTCCCTTCTGAATTTCTTTCACTTCCCAAATAATATATCAGACATGCTGGATAATGGAAAGAAAATTAGGAAAACCTTGCTGAAAACCCTAATAAACCTGGAAATAATCCATTCAGAAAACATAGTGAGGAAAGAGTACTGAAAAAGTAGTGCAATTTATAATACTTTTACACCATTAAGTAGCAGAAGAACAACTGCGTAAGTACTCTGAAAGTGTTTGTATAGTCACAACATTATATTTCAGCAACCATATTTTATTGTTCTATGCATGACACAGTGTATTTTGTTATGGATACAGAACTTGCTCAACTATTATTGTACTTGTATGTCCATATTCAGCTTTTTGAATGTAACTACAGAGAAATGCTCAGACTTTCACATAATTGGGTTCAGCAAAATACATCAGTTCCAGTGGTTTCAACCTGTAACTTGCTGGCTGAAAAATTTATGAGATAACATTTGTAAACATTACATATTATGAGAAAACATAGCTAACAATATTTATAAATTGCATTCCAATGAAGAATCAAAAGAAAAATAAAGTGGATAACATGTCAGTAAGTACCTCTGTGTCTTATAAGTAAAACTGGGATTGAATTCCATCAAGTGTAACAGTCTGTTTTAATAATAAAATAGAGCCTTTACGTGTTTCAGCTAATGGTGGCCATCATCGGAAGGCAACTAACACTGCAAAGGAAATGCGTATATTATGTGCACATTTTATCTTGTAAAAGATAAAACACTAGTATTTAAATATGTTTTGTTAAAAATTCTATAATTTTTTGATTGATTAGAATCTTGCTCTGAGTTCCAGTGACGGTCATATTCCTTCATGGTAGGTCCTGTGTGTGTGTGGGCAGGACTGTGGTGTTGTGTGTGATGCATTTTGGTGAAGCACTGGTTGCCTTCCGATAACAGTCATCATTGGCCAAAACATGTAAAGGATCTATTTTATTAAAAAAGAAGAAAAAGAAGAAGAAGAAGAAAACACCACTGCTGCACATGATGGAATTCAATCCGAAGTTTACTTACACATTCTAAAGTGCAAAGGCTGAGGACAATGCCTATCATAAAAATAAACTCTGTTTCTGTTAATGTCTGTACAATATATATTACCATCACCTCTTTGCAAATATCTTATAGACATTTCCGCTTCATGTTAATGCAAATGTAATCTTGAAATACCATACCATTTGGCACTTTTCAACATATACATAAGTATTTTTAGACATGTTTGCATCAGATTTTGTAAGCCCAACTATCTGTTCCTTTTGCAAATAAATTCAACATTATCATGTTGGTAGTTTTCAATTAATGAAAATATAACATTAAATGTGCAAAACCTTAATGACATTTTGGACTGAAAATGACTGCAAGTGAAGGTGTGCATGCACAGAACGATTCAAAATTACTTACCAGTACTGGAAAAATGTAATAAGTAAGTTTGATGGTTGAGCAAATATGTCAACTACTGGAGGAACAGAAAGATCTGGAGTTGGTTGTGATGAATTGAGCGTATTACTTGGGGACGGAGGGGCACTGGTGTCAGTCTGTGTATGTGCAAGCGTGGTGATGAAGTTGCGATTCAGATGTACTGCTTCATACAGTGCCACCAAAACTGCATTGTTGGCCCTAGTGCAAAACACAGATAAGGAGCACTGGAAATTAAAAACATAACTGCAAAGGACCAAAGCACATACTAAGATTCAGAGTGTCTAATGACTATAACAAAACACTTCAGCATCTTATTTCTAAGGTCACTTCCATACAGAAATATCATATGAATGTGAGTCTTGATTCTCAGTGGTCATGCAATTATAGATGTGGTGTGAAACGTAGAACCAAGCTGCAATATACAATGCCCATACATGAAGGACGCACAAACATATCAATATTAGCAATATTTTTGTCTTTACCCAATGAGGCACACTGCATGAATATCAACAAACCATAACAGCCCACGTAATAATATCCATAAGACATTTACTACCGCATAAACTCGGGCATAACAATTTCCACTCTGAGAGACAATCGACATACAATTATTCTCACAACATGAAAACTATGAACATATGAGGAAATTTTAACATCATATCATATAATCTTAGCAATTGTTCAAATAACTTTAAAAGATACCATGGCACCCTGTAGAATAAATAATCCTTTACCAATCAGGCAGTATATTAAGACCACCACCTTATCGTGGTGAGGGGGTTTGAGTATGCCAAGGACCCTGAGAGCTATACCAGCGGTAGCGTAGCTACTGGCAGAGCCTCCCTTGCTGGACAGGTCAAAGGGTAGGCATCAGACGAAGAGAGACACCAAAAACTGATGCCAGAAGCAGCGTCATCAGCAGCGACTTGAAGCACAGAGCAAATGATGCTCAAGATGGTTCAAGTTCATATAGCAACAGGCGTGACCAGAGTGGTTTGAACGGCTGTTGTACTGCGATGTGGAAAGCAAATGGAAAAACTACCACATTATCACTTTTCCTGGATAGTCTCTTTCCAAAAACAGATGATCGCATTAAGTGGAGGAACTGTTTTGGAAAAGACTGTCATCTGACAGATTACTGATGAATGAAATGAATAAATCCCTATCTGATAAGAACACCCACACAAAACCAAGTGACATACTTTTGTTTTTTTTTCTTGTTATGTAAACTGAAAATGGTTGAAAAGAAAGGAAAACAACTTGCCATATATTAAACAAGTTAAGAAAGTATACACAGTATAATGATTTTGGCACATCTGCTATTACTGCCTCTAGATTTTCAATTAATGAATGCTGATGTCTGATGCATGCATAAGAACAAGACTGGATGGGCATATCTTTTGCTAATTACCTTGAAAACTAATATTTATGGAAGATCTGCAATGAATATAAAATGTGTTTAATTTCTCTCTACATCTTTTGTTTGAGGAATTTTTCATTCTGATAAATATTCCATACATTACATTCGAGATGTGCACTAACACCTCATGCAAGTTTACATGTAAAATGTCCATTGTTGTTGTGCAGTTTTAACCAAAATTGGAAATATTCCAATAAATTTTGATAAAACAGCCCAATATCAAATTCCACAAAAAAATCTTCATCTGTTCCTTGGTTGCTACAGACAGACAGAGAGACAGATACATATAGCAAAGCTAATATGTGAATTTTCAGAACTTTTCATTCCAAACATATCAAAATATAAATGCACAAATATTATTTTGATATCATGCCAATGAATATTGGAGTTCCATACCGTATCTGCTGTGTCCGAACTCCACCCTCTTCAGATACAAACATGTTGCCCACCATGTTTGTCAGGGATGAGAGCCAACTGGCTGATTGTGGTTCCATATGTTGGGTCATAAATTGACGACAGAATTCTGTCAAACAGGATGTAATGACCTGAATAAAAAGAACACTGTGATTTATTCATAACAAATAGACTTGCTAAAATACTCGACCTAAAGGGTAGAAGAATGTTATATTATGGTTTGATCTATCCCTTTCTAACATATGGAATTGCAGTATGGGGACAAAGTGCTAAGGCACTTACTAAAAGAATTGTTATTCTACAAAGAAAGAGCAGTAAGGTATACTGCAGGTTAAAAACCTTTGGAATCATGCAGAGATAGTTTTAAACAACTTAAGATACTAACAGTATATTCGTCGTACATACAACAAACCATCTTATATGTAATAAATAAGTGTAATTGCACAGTAAATAAACAGGTACACAAACATAATACAAGAAACAATAATGATTACCATAAATGGGTGCATAACTTAGAACTTTATAATAGTAAACCTTCAGTTGCTGGTTGTATCTTTTATAATAAATTACCTAATAATATAAAACACCTTGAAAATAAAAACCAGTTTATAAGGGAACTGAACAATTTACTCAGTAATGGGTGTTACTACTCAACTGAAGACTATATGAATGATAAATTCTTAACTACTGGATAATGATACATGCTAGAGGTAAACAATTGTTACATATTTTGTTAGCTATTCGTTAAGAATTATTGTATTTTTGCTAATTTTATAATATCAAATGACATGTCCTACATCAGTGTAATCTGATCTATAGGATTAATAAACATGAATGGATGAATGAATGAATTGTTAACATCATTATAATGACATAATGACAGAGAATCTGGGGTATCATCAGAGGTTAAAAATGTTAGCTTAAATATGTCAGGGACCTGAATATTTCACTGCAAAATATAAAATGTGTATGTATCATGTGGGGGCACACAGTTTGTGTAGTTCGTTAAGGCACTGTGCTACAAGCTGGAAGGTAACGTGTTCAATTCCTGATGAGGTCACTGGATTTTTCAATTGATCTAATCCCTCCAGCTGCACTATGGCTCTGGGATTGACTCAGCCTCTAACAGAAAAGAGTACCAGGACTCTTCTTGGGGGTAAAGGAGGACAAGCTTGTAAGGCTCGCCACCATCTGTGAGCCAACTACCTAGAATATGTGGGAGTCTCTTCACCTCACAACCCTATGGACCTCCACGACCTGTTACAGGGATAGCTTTACCTTTTTTTGCTTATATACTATACAAAGCATATAATTTTACACTCATCACAAAGAGATGGGTCATCTAATGTAAATACACACCAGTTTTGTATACAATTATTATAAATTACGAGGGTTATTCAGAAAGTAACCTCTGGTGAGCTGTTAACAAAAGAAGCAATGGAAAAAAAATTATTATATACAAAAAATATGTATATACTTAAGCTAATTATCAACATAGTCACTGCTGGAATTGAGGCATTTGTTGTATCAGGAATAAGTTTTGTATGCCTGTGTCAAAGAAGTTCTGCTGCCAGTGAGCTCGGCCATGTTTTGACACCTTCCATCAACTTCTCATTATTGCTGAAGCACTGTGATCCCAACCAGTTCTTCAGGTATGTTAACAGGTGGTACTCGCTTGGAGCAAGATCAGGGCTGTAAGGAAGGTGGATAAACAACTCTCAGCTGAAATGCTCTAGCAGTGCTCGAGTGATCAGCATTCCATACCTTTTGTTCCGAATGGCTGACCCACGCAGTTTTATTAGTGTTTCACAATACACTTCTGATGTTATTGTAATCCCTAGTTGCATGAATTCCACAATCAACACTCCTTTCCTGTCCCAGAAAACAGCTGCCATCAGCTTTCTGGATGTCAGATGTTTGTTCAAAGTCTTTTGGCTTGTTTTGTGAATGCGTGTGCATCCACTGTTTTGACTGCTCTTTGATTTCAACATTCACGAATTAATCAATAATGAATAAATAAATCAATCAATCAAAACCCAGGTTGCACCACCTGGTATTCGTATGATGTGACTGAGAAATTCATCACCATCTTTGTGGTATCACTCCAAAAAAAGTCAAAGTCAAAGCCATTCTTTGCATTTTGTGTCCACCCATGAGCATTTTCAGAACTCATCTTGCACAAAACTTGTGATAGTCTAGCCTAGCTTTGATAATCTTGTAAAGAAGAGTGCATGAAATTTGTGTAAATTCACATAAAAGTTCTGAAACTGTGAAGCTCCATCTTTCACAATTTTTTTGGTCAACAGTTTGAACATCACTCACTACAGATGGCCAACCACTTCCCTCTTCATCGTGAACATTTTTTTTGAACATTCTACACCTTTGTCTTATAGTTCCTTCACTCATTACATTTTGGTTGTAAACCGTGCATAAGTCATGATGGATATCAGCAATACTCATGTTTTTCATGTAAAGAAAGCAGACAACATCACAAATTTTGCAGGACACATCATAACTCACTCTACAGAGACAAGAACAAACACTAGGTGACCAGTTATGTGATGGTTTACAAGGCGATGAATCATATGACACTACCTTGCAAGAGCAATGTGTCCCCTGCTCCTACATTAGTTGCCTAAAATAAACTGAGGTTACTTTCTGAATAGCCCTAGTATATATACAATATCTATATCACTTTTAGTTACATATTCCAATGTAAAAGATCATCAGGCTACAATATACATATTCTAAGAAAACTGCTGTAATTGCTTATGTTGTTAATATTGACCACTGTACTGCTATTGTAGCGTTTCATCTGAATACACATACTGCAGCCTGATTATCCTTAATGCAGCTGAAAGTGATACAGATGTATGCGATTTATAATAATTGTATAAAACACTGTGAGAGATGGTACATAAACATAGTGATTTGAAGTCTTATGGCCAAACTTTGGGACAATCTGGAGCAGAAAATGTAAACAATTACCCAGATCACCACTGTTTCAGAATGACACCAATTCAAAATTTTAGCCTGTTTATGTTCGTGTAGTAGAACCTTTATAAAAACACAAGACAGAGCTCATACTGTATTCACTTATGGCTCACATTACTTCTGATGGTAAATAGTGATAACAGCAAAACAAGATGGTAGAGTTTACTAATGCAGAGTAAGCTGATGTGGCTTTTGTGATGAAAATGCTACAAAAATTGCATATGGGATACAGACAGGGAACAGTAACCTTTGCATCCAATTCTGTTGATGGCTTCTATGTATAGTGTTTGCCTCCATATAAATGCAGACGAAACTAACTTACTGTGTCATGTACTGTGGACTGACGAGATAATATTCACAAAGAGCGGAGTATATAATCTCTACAGCCTACACAAACGGGCACTGGAGTTTCCACATTTTACTTGACACTCTTTCAGTAATGGTTTAGTGTCAACATTTTGGTTATAATTATGTAACTTAACCATACGTGACAGCAAATAATCTTCACTTCTAATACTGTTCCCCATAGCCACTTAGTAACAGCCGCATCCGCTGTTACATCACAGTGGGAAGTGGTTGCCTGTTACCCTAGTAGTGGTAGCAGCGTCCGCTGTTACGTCACAGCGGACGTGTTGCCTAACATGCTCCTCTGCATCTCTCTACATCACTGCAGGCAACGTTACTGGTGACATGTGTTACTGTGTTTCGCGGACTCCATGATTCTCAACAAGTTCCTTGGATATACCCTGTAATGTTCATGAGGGCGTGTAGTTTCTACATGACAGTGCTTCTCCCACTTCTAACACCAGGAGCATAATTGAACTATTTTCTGACCGCATGGACTGCCCATGAGAGTCCAACTGTCTGGCCTCCATGATCTCCTTGATTTTTTCTTATGGGGAAGCATCACAGAAAATGTGACAGCCTGATCACTTGCACTGCAGTGACTACAACAGATATTAGGGTCCAACCATGACAACTGGTTCATGTCAGGTACTCTATTAAACATCACTGTGAAGCATGAAGGAGTTACATGTGAAGATCTCATAAAAAAAAAAGATATTAGGGTTCAACCATGACAACTGGCTCATGTCAGGTACCCCATTAGACTTCACTGTGAAGCATGAAGGAGTTACATGTGAAGATCTTGTAAAAAAAAAAAAAAGATATAGGGTCCAACCATGACAACTGGCTCATGTCGGGTACCCCATTAAACTTCACTGTGAAGCATGAAGGAGGTATATGTGAAGATCTCATAAAAAAAAGATATTAGGGTAAAACCATGACAACTGGTTCATGTCAGGTACTCCATTACACATCACTGTGAAGCATGAAGGAGTTACACGTGAAGATTTCGTAAAAAAAAAAAAAAAAAAAAAGGGTCCAACCATGACAACTGGCTCATGTCAGGTACCACATTAAACATCACTGTAAAGCACGAAGTAGTTATATATGTGAAGATCCTGTAAAAAAAAAATACACAGAACTATGTATGTCCCCAAGACACAATCAGACATTTGTGTTAAATGTTATGAAAAATTAAAGTGAAAAGAGCAAATAATTTCAAAATCTTTAGTTTTCACATGTTGTAATTAGAAGTAATAAATAAAGATAAATGCAAATAACCAAATTTATACATCAATGGACAATTATTCAATTTTCTTAAAAAGTGGTGAAACATTGTAACTCAACAGGGGTGATGACTCAAATAATTTCTTTATGTTTCTGACTCCAAAGTGTCTCCCCAACAATCTCCTACACCCCATAAATATACTGGTAACACAAGATAATGCTCAAATATGCTATTTCAAGCATATGACTGAATCTGTTGAACAGAAACAATTTCAATATTAAGCTGCTAATGTTGAGGGCTTATCTCTTCCCATCTGATGCATGAGAAAGAGATATGACCCCAGGATAGGAAAAAATGTTAAGGCATGAAAATTGTGCCTAACAACATCCTGTGAAGGTGAACAATGAACATGGAAGTAAATTCCAACATTCCTAATCTCAGCACTAGATTGGAGTGAGTGTTCAGCTTCATGCTTTATTTGCCTTTTCCCTCTTAGAGTCACTGGTGCACAACCAATAGCAGGGGTCATCCACAGAACTATTCCGGATATTTTTTTAATAGAGTTCATTTTGCCAATGTGCTATATATATTAAAATAAAAAAAGTAAAATGATCATCCAAGTATACCTAATTAGATATACCTGGATGATAATTTGACATTTTACTTCATCCTGGATGTGTTCTGAAACAGAAATATAGTAACATTCATCAAAGGACTTGAACTCTGGTTATGTAGTCCATTACAAGCCACTACACTAAATTGTTAATGGCTCCCAAAATGCAAATTACATACATATACATGTATTTTATTAATTAAATACCAAAAAATTCCTGAATTAATTATCCGATAGCATAAGAACACCAGAAAATTCCTCAATCTAAGGATACATTTTATATCCCTCAGCATTTCTGGATGTAAATCTGAAATTTACAGATAAACTACTGCCTCATATGTTAGGTGATCCTCAGTGCTGTATATGTTTGGTTAAAAGTACTAAAACAGAAGCATGGGCTCAAACTTAGCTAGGTGTTAGCACAGAAATTACTAAAACTGTCCATCCAATGATTTTAATACAAGTATGTGAGAGAATACGGCTATTTTCTTACATGTAATATTTTATTTTGAAATACTTATGATATATACAATGCTGATGTATACAACAACCTGGCCATATCCATTCAAAGCCAGTTCATCATCTAGAATAGACAGCTTGACAATGTATGGATTAGTTGATTCATGCTTCCGATAGTTCACAAGGAGGGTCAGCAATAGAACTGCATCATGGCCATGCTGCATTCTGTTTGTAGGTTCACTAAGCAACTGCACATACAAAATAACACAAGATAAATGCAAAATCAGGGCTTCTCACTTTTTATATAACTACAGAGCATACAAAATGCAGATTGTCAAAATAAATTTTAGGAATGTTGCTCCCATCTCAAATAATCATTTTATTATTATATAACAGTTGGAGGGATGGAATTATGAATCATACATGTGGATGATTCTGTAGTACAAACTTCATATCAAGTTTCATTAAGACATGTTCATGGGTTCCAAAGTTAATAAAGGCACTTCAAGAATGTATAAGCCTATATTTCAGTGTCAGATAAGAAGACTTCATAATGCCAGGCTCAGCACTCTAACTAACCTGTATGAGTGCTTCAAATATGATGTTTACCATGAGGTACTCTAGCAGTGTGTTCTGACTAACATTGTCAGTTCCTGTCACCAACACCAGTAGGAGCTTAAGGCAGAGGGCTTTGAGGCTAGTTGGATATTCACCTGAAAAAGGCACAGCCAATAAAGCACTACTACATAAACCAAGAAAAAAGACTGCAGCCTAAAGATGAGAAGCAATTTGTATTTACCAGTCAAAAAATTACTACAGTGATCCAGTAACATCTGCATCATCTGATCGGCAACTTCAAAACCCATGAGGATGTTGATCACATCAAACCCAAATTCTGCTGAAGTTTTTTTATAGATGCTATGGATTACAGCACAAAGTGTCTAGAAACAAATCAAAACCAGGATGCTCGTTAACTTCCACACAAAACTGTGCTGCCCTGAAAGTAAAAAATATTTTACCTCATACACCATAAATTTATGATACTATTAGTGCAATTCACTGGCACAGGATCAGGGTGGCATATGTATAATGTAATTACTTTTCAGGAAGAAAACCTATTAGTTTGGTATATTTTTATTGTAACATTTTTTATCGGGGAATTGTACTGCTACTTACATTTTCTGCATGTTCATGAAAAGAAACTGTGGTGTGTGTGTGTGTGTGTGTATATATATGTGGCATTTGGAATAATTTAATTTAATGTTACTTATATTTTTATAAATAATGATTTCAAATTTGCTAGATTAGCTATAATGTTCATTTGATCAAAATGACATATGCTTACATGTATTGAAATTACATAAGTTTAGTATACAACAAGCACTACCAATTGATGGCCATGACAACTATCACATGAGCATGTACTCTGTGAAGCTGGTACCTGTCCAGTGACCAAATTATAAAGCTCTTGCAAGCAAAACAAACATATACAGAAATGTATAGACGGTTGCACGACCAAAAAACCAAATTCCAGGTGAAAAATGGGAGAAAACAAATTTTATAGAAAAATAGTGTAACATCCATTGAGAAATTAACAGATTCTCATCATCTGTTATATAAGAGTCTGTACTACTAAATTCTCTGCTTTCTCCCATATGCCTTTCCACTTACATGTTATCACATGATACGTTAAGGCCAAAGTTTAATGTCAGCTCCCACAAATAATATGTACAAGCAGTCAATCATAAACCATTTCACATAACTTGTATATCAAAATATTATCAGTATGCACAGATAATACACTGAAACAGAAGACTGCTCACTCATTCAAGACCTACTACATAACTTACACTCATGCAACATGCTAATGGTTTACAATTTGCTGCTATGGTAACCCAATATTGTACAATGTCAGATCTTTCATCTGATGATTATAGAAGTTTTATATATATATACGTAGGTCATACCGAAAGTCATGAGCAACTTTTTTTTTGCATGCAACCTGGGAACAGCAGATGAAAGAGAGTATGGTGGTAGGTGGAACCAGCTGTTATGTTAACCTTGAGTGTCTTGTGACGTCAATAGCTTGCATCATGTGACCAGTATCACTCCTAACAAAATGGCTGACAATATGTAGTTACGCCAGCGTGCTGTCATCGAATTTCTTGTGAAAGAGGAAATCCCTGCTGCATAAATTCACCAGAGACTTCAGTGTGCTTATGGAAGTGTGTGCATGGGTGCAAGCACTGTTCGAAGATGGGTGATACATTTTAAAGATGGGAACACCAGCATCGAAGATGAGCCTCAGAGCGATCGTTCTTGAACAGCCTCAACTGAACGCAACAAGGAAAGGGTGGATGAGATCATTCAAGATGACAGGCATGTGACTGTGGACACAACAGCCCAAAAACTTGGAATAGGGCACAGTGCAGTACAGGAGATGATTGAAAGCTTGGGCTATAAGAAAGTTTGTGCTCGCTGGGTCCCACAGTTATTGACCGAAGACCACAAAGGTCAGCAAAAAGCCATCATCTCAGAACTGCTGCAGAGATATCGACACAAAGGCGATGATTTCTTGCTCTGTATTGTGACAGGTGACAAAAGCTGGTTTCGCCAATATCGAGCCTGAAACGAAACGGCAGAGTATGGAATGGTACCATTTGCATTCTCCATCAAAAAAGAAGGCAAAGACAGTGCCATCTGCTGCGAAGGTGATGGGCACAGTCTTATGGGATGCAGAGGGGTTTATTCTGGCTGAATTCCTGGAACCTGGACAAACCATCAATGCTGCTCGTTATGTGCAGACGCTGCACTAGCTCCGTCGTGCACCGCGTGATAAACATCCGGGATGAAACATCATCATCCTGCATGACAACGCTCGCCCCCACGCCACTCGTGTCACATTGGAAGCAATTGCAAAGATGGGGTGGGAAGTTCTTCCACACCCCTCCTATAGCCCTGATCTGGCACCCTCTGACTACCATCTTTTCGGATTTGTGAAGGATCAGCTGCATGGACAACATTTTGAGACAAGGGAGGCAATTCAGAAAGCAGTGTGTCAGTGTCTTCGAATGCTGGAACGGAATTTTACAGAAGGGGAATTTTCAAACTCCCAGAACGCTGGGAGAAATGTGTACAAAGAAGTGGNTGATTCCAATGCCATTAATTTCAGTACTATATGTCACCATCAATGACATGCCATTCTCACTACCAGGCCTCATAATTGGCAAAGAAGGTGTTACTGTGTTCTTACAGCATAATGCAGTAATAGCACAGGGAGGAGGATGGCTAATGTATTACTGTACAAACTGCACAAGTGCAATGATAATATTGTGCTGGACCCTGGAATACATGCTTAACAGCAGCAAATACACTACTTTTACTTTATTTTATATATTAAAGACACTTACAAAATTAATCCATATATGTTTCACAATCGTTAAAGACAATAAATAATTTATATGTGTAATCTAATGTCTATACAAGAATTATAACAATTGGTTCTGACAACACTAACATACAGTACTGATAAAGTAAATTCTTTAAAATGTTTGAAATAACATCTATACACAATAAACTAGTAAATAATTCTGTATGCTCTGCAATCAAATTCAATTCAAAAATTAATTTTCTATTATACATATGCCACTACATACTACTACATTATGTAATATAACATTAATTCTTTATTATTATAAGAAATGTGTCACGCAAGTCTTATTTTCCTTGCAATATTTCCATTTTACACAGGCTGATGGATGAAAATTCTACAGCCTCTTCTTTCTTCTTATAATCTTTACTTTCTGATTTCCTGTGAGCTCTTTCCTTTTTTCTTGATGTCTTCCAGTACCTGAATGAACCATCTTGTTCTAGGTCGTTCCATATTCTACCTCTTCTAAATTTTAATTCTAATGAAATTCTTGGTCTTATTCTATACTGTTCCAAGGCATACCTTCACTTTTCGTTGCTGGCACATTAAATAATTAGATACAGTATCACTACAAGAGGCCAATTCACAGTAACACATCCTTGTATGTTATAACAAATATAAACATATAAATTGTGAACCAGTTATTATATTGTAGGGCTTCCAGTCCACAGGTCATCAATATTTTGATAATTTAGTCTTGAAGATGGCATGTAAGTCACAGAAACCCAAAGCTGAATACTAATATAAGACAATAATGACTGATGAATTAAACACATAGTAAATATTTTAAGTTGGTTTCACTATACAACACTAGAACGGACAGTGCAGTCAGTATAGCAAGAGGCTACAGGCTGGAAAACCGAGGGTTCAGAGTTAGAGTCCTTGTAGGGTTAAGTATTTTCTCTCCTCCACATTGTCCAGACCATCTCTGGCATCAGCCTCATATCCAATGGGTACTGGGGGCTCTTTCCCCAGCGTTAGAGCTGCTGGGATGTGAAACTGACCCCTCACCTCCAACTAGTACCAACGCCAATAAAACGTGAATCTATACATTCACTTCCCCATATGCCTTCATGGCATAGTACTTAATTAGTTAAGCACAGGGACACCTTCACCTTTCACTGTACAACATGAAGCTGAACTTCAGTTTAGCTATATTTACACTACTAGAGCTCTGAACTTTGTCCACTTCCACGAGAAATAATACAATATATCCTGACTTGATTCTCTCAAGAAGTTATAAAATACAGGCATGCCATCAGTCAGTGTAACAACAGGCTGAATGCCCAAGGTTTGATTCCTGGCAGAGGCAAAGGACTTTTCTCAACACCACAGCACCCAGCCTCCTATCCAATCAGTACTAGGGACCCTTTCCCTGGTGGAGGGGTTAAGCAACCAGGGCACACAGCTGGCCACTCACCTCCTTTAAGTCCCAAGGTAAAAAAATGGTGAAGCTACACTTCCATCACACCACGTCTTTGTGGCATAATTCTTAATTAATTAAGCACAGGGACAACTTTACCTGTTTACAGGTTTATTATGAATATGGTTTATGGTTTCACTAATATTTTTATCATTTTGAAATACAATGTATTTCACATTGAAAAATACATATTATGAGGTGTGCCAATTTGGAAAATTTTTAGATGCACTATCCTAATCTTAAACTGGAAAACTAAGCCAGTTATTTTAACTACCAGTAACTCTATGGAGCAGAGTTCTTCTTGAGAACAAAAAAGAGGTACAAAATGACCCCCATTTTATGGAACTTAAGGGTTCATTACAGTTATCACAACAGCCCACTGCTGGCCCCTAATCTATGTCAAATTAATCTAGTCCATAACCTGCCATTCAGTTTCTTTAAGATACTGTACTCTACTGAATTAAATACAATACCTGTAAAGCATATACAACACGTATGTGATGTTCATGTCCTAAAGTTGCAATACAGTGCTTGAAGAGAGCACTGATATTCTCCTTTATTGCTATCAGTTGTTCTCCATTTAGTTTCTGAATTTCTGCCTCCAGGCTGGAAACCTTGAATAAAACAGACATTTTGTATTACTGAACAAAACCAATTTGATAAGTTACATGGAATTTCACTCTGATCAACATCATAAAAGTAATATCCAACAATGTCTTGAACAGATGGATGGATTATATGTTATTTAATAACATAGTATCAACTGCAGCAGTTATTTAGTGTCAAATGATGTGAGATCATGATAAGATATAAACTTCTGTTTACAATTAGACTTCTCACATTTAAATTAACTATCCTCATAATACTTATATACAATAGTTAATGGGAAGCAGTATAAAATACTTCATATGAAAATTATTTTGAGGTGAAAATGTTTTAATTTAATTTCACTGTACAAAGTCGGTAAAGGGAAATAATCACATACATTTCCATTACATTCAACAAGCAGTTTCAACTTACTTTGGGTTTAAGAAGAAAGAGTTCATCCCAAAAATTTGGGTTTCCTAATGATGGGTCTTCACCCTGTAACATCACAACATGTTATTTATATTCTGAAAAGATTCACATTTTGATTTATAATAATTCTGATATTATTATTATTATTATTATTTGTCTGCAGGGAGGTTGACGTATTCGGAGCCAGGAAAGTTCTACCCAAACAAATTTTAAATATAATATAGCTGTTAGTATTTTTATTAAATATTTCTGTTTCAGTCCATATCAGCTATTTGTTTGTTTGCTTATACTTTTACTTTTCTTCATTATTATTTCTTCTCAGTACTTACTTGTAATTTGTATGTTAATTTAATAAGTTTGTCTAGAATGTAATTCATTTTTCTGCACTGTGCTGTGTCTGAAATTGGCCTTGCGGCTGTTGACTTGGCACATTAATAATTAAGAATTGAATTGAACTGAATTAATTGAATTGAATTATTATAATTATTATGTATGTTATTTATATGTATTAATTTGTTTTCCTCCAACATTAACCTTTAATCATTGTTTGACTTTATATTGTGTTTGTCCAGTATGTAACTACTTCTATCATACACTGTGCTGAGTCTATAATTGGCCTTATGGCTGTTGGCTCAGCACATAAATAATAAAGAATTGAATTGAATTGAATTATTATTATTATTATTATTATTATTATTAAGCACTAAAATCTGAATCCAGGGGTGGCCAAAATAGCGGAACTGTTAAGAAATTGAGGAACAGAATTTGTGTTGGCTACACTGAAAGAACTTAGTTGACAACATTCAATATTCTTCCATTTGTTTACATTCTGTAGTGCTCATGTCAGTGCATTAGTGTGATGAATGACAGTCCACATGAAGGAATTGGAAAATGAGAGACCTGTCCGATTTTTTTGGTGTTCAGTTGGAGCATCTGTGACAGAAAATGCCACATTATTGGGTGTACTGAGAGAAACAATTTCTAAGGTTATGTTGACATAGACAAACTATGGGAAGACAACCTCAGTGAATAGGAACAGTGGGTGAAAATCAACACAGACAGAAAGAGATCGTCGTGCACTGAGAACGATTGTTTCAAAAAATCACACAACTACTGTAGCACAGGTGACAGCAGAACTGAATATTCATCTTGAAGACCTTGTTTCCACAAAAACTGTCCGACGTGAGCTTCACAGATTTGACGTCCAAGGTAGGGCTGCACTTGCTGAACCACTGATTAGTGAAAGTAATGCTCAGATGCATAAATGATGGCATCACAAAAACTTGAAAATGTTCTTCAAGAAGAATGGTATAAAATTCCATTGAAGACTGTTCAAAATTTGTAAGAGTGCATTCCAAGGATTGCAGCTATACTGAAGACAAAAGGTGGTCCAACACCATATTAATAAAGAAATGTGTACAGTACCTCTAGTGTTTTCATTATTTTGTCCAACCCCTGTACCTCAATATACATAATCTTAACTCCAAACAATATAAAATGCCTAGGGATTATCCTTATATCATGATATAAGCCAACTGCTTCGTCTTCTGACAGCGAGGCCAGCCTCAGTGAAAGTGACAGTGACAGGGGCCACAGGGCCCCCCCCCCAACTTCTGCGTGATGCCTCTTCACAAAGGGGAATGTTGCCAGAGATATCACATGCGCAAGCACTTCTAGGAGCTCTGGTAAGTGTTCTCCAAAAATTTTAGTTCATAAAATTAATTAGGAAATTTTATATTAATTTTTAAAGTGAACAGTGCACAAGTTAGGGTGCTAGGCTTAAAAACCCTGGTCCACAGCGTTATTTAAACAACTTGTCCTCAATGTGTTAACAAGCAACAAACTGCATGCTCTGGCCATGTTTCTCAGTGTGTTGTTCAAAACCAAGTGACTTCAAGCATAAAAAGAAGTTGTTTCAATATAATGTACACATACCCAAAAATTTAGAACCAACCTAAAAAGTAACAAAATGAGGTAAGTTCCAACTGTAAAAAACAAATACCAGCATATATATCCATTATATGACTTGGATATAACACAGTAAAAGTTTTAGTGAACAACATTTTCAGTGTGGGTCCATTTTGGATATAGCTTATAATGTGATCAAGCACATATGTACTGGGCATAAAAAACATACCTCAAAGCATGACAAGTTTTGCAGTACTCAGAACTTCTGAAGAAATAATCTGCCATGCACTTACAGTACACCACACTGCTACTTTTACACTGTGTAGCAGTGTCTGTTGAATGGCATGAGTGAGTTTCTTCACCACATATTTGTATATTTTGCATGCTGACATGACCATAGTTAACAAAGAGAAACAAAGAAAGGTGGCAACACTGTGAACAGAGTGCATAGTATCTTTTCTCTATAATCATTACCAAATTTAATGATGAATCATATGCACAGTCAACAAACGTAGTGTCATGGATCGGTGCAGTGTGATTGATATGGTAGCACCTGAAAGTTCTGCTTCCTCAGATCATTTCATCTTAGGGTGTGAACTGCCATGAGGCATACAGTTTGACAGCAAATGATGAGGTCCTTCATAAGAAATAACATTTACAGAAAGAGCATTCAGAAGTTAATTCGTAAATATCCATGAGACAAGTGCTTACAAAGCTGCATGTATCAAAGCTTGTCAGAAAGTGATGATTCATGGGTTCAGTTTGTGACAAAACAAAAATCTACAAGGAATGTGCCTACTGAACAAAACATTTATGATATTCAAGCATGATTAGAGATGAATACTTAGAGGTTGGCACAAAGAACTGGACTTCCACTGGCACCTGCATTCACAGCCACATGACTAAATTTCTCAAATTTCATGTGTTTAAAATAATATATGTGCATAAGCTTAACCAAACTGATTATGCAGCAAAAATTCACTCTTGCAGCTGGTTGCTGCAAAATGTGCCATTACAAAGTGTAAAAGTGGGTCTGTGGTGTGCTGCAAGCATGCTGGGAGGCAGAAGGAGGTAAATTCCACATTACACGACTTTACATTACATTATATTACATTACATTGCATTCCCTGGGTTCGAAGTTAGTCAAATGACTGTAGGATGTAGAATATGTCATATAAATAATAAAAAAAAACATATGTACAGTACAACTAAAGTTTTCACAGAAGAAAACATAGTGGTTACACATGGGACTATTAAAATATATATATATCAATACTGTCAACTTACACTACTTACACAACCTTTAAATGGATGAGTAATTTTTTAGAAAATAAGTATTCATCACTACAGTAGAATGTCTATGTGTTTAATTATTGTTGTAGTACTATTTTAAATTGTGCCTTTCCATTCATAAGATTTTGGAGATCAGATGGCAGATTATTGAAAACTTTAATTGCAGCATAATACGTGCTTTCTCTGAAAACATGCGAGGTTAAGAGTTGGTTTCTGAACATAGTGCTTGTGTCTTGTGTTAACGCTCTGTACATCTGCATTGGTCTGAAACTGTTGTTACTTTTAATGAAGTTTTTTTTTATTGCTAGTGGGGTGGGACTATGTCCCTTGTACTGTGCCCACTTCTGGCCGTCTGTACCAGCCCCAGATGATAGGTGAAGGTGATTGTGGAACAATTGATGGAATGAAGATTGGCAGGGGAAACCGAAGTACTCGGAGAAAACCTGCCCCAGCGCCACTTTGTCCACCACAAATCCCACTTTACCAGACCTGGGATCAAACCCGGGCTGCCGCGGTGGGAAGCCAGCGACTAACCACTTGAGCTATGGCGTGGACTTTAAAGAATTTTACTTACTTACTTACTTAGCGGCCTCCGTAGTCTAGAGGTAACATTCCCACCTCATGACTCGTAATACGCGGGTTCAAATACCCGGCNGGAAACCCACCCTCTCCAATAACTAACTAACTACTTACTTACTCACTCATGGAGCTGAGCCCTTCTGGAGGAGCATCCAATTCTGCAGCTATTCAAGAATTTCCCAGCATTTTATGGAGCCCGAAGGTCCATTACCGTGTTCACAAGAGCCCTCCACTGGTCTCTATCCTCAGCCAGATCAATCCAGTCCATACCACCCCATCCTATCTCTCCAAGATCCATTTTAATATTGTTCACCCACATATGCCTTGGTCTTCCCAGTGGTCTTTTTCCTTCTGGCTTTCCCACCAATATCCTATATGCATTCCTTGCCTCCCCCATTTGTGCTACATGCCCTGCCCACCTCATCCTCCTTGACTTGATCATTCTAATTATACTTGGAGAAGAGTACAAGTTATGAAGCTCCTCAATATGCAGTTTTCTCCAACCTCCTGTCATTTCATCTCTGTTCAGTCCAAATATTCTCCTCAACACCCTGTTCTCAAACACCCTCAGTCTATCTTCCTCCCTTAATGTCACACCCATACAGAACCACAAGTAAAATTAGAGTTTTGTATATTCTAATTTTTATGTTTTTTGACAGCAGACGAGAAGACAAAAGGTTCTGAACTGAATGATAGGAAGCATTACCCGAGTTCAATCTCCTTTTAATTTCCTCCTGAATCAGGTAACGATCTGTTATCATTCTTCCAAAATATCTGAACTGTGCCACATTTTCAAAACATCTGTTTCTTATCTTTATGTCATGATATTGCCCTGCATTTTGGTGACGAGACAGCAACATATACTTAGTTTTCTCTGTGTTTACTTCTAGACCAACCTCTTTACTTGCGTCAATTAAAGCTTGTGTGTTTTTCTTTATGGTATCTACATCATCACCCAGTAGATTCACATCATCGGCATAGGACAACAGCTGATGTTTCCCGTTTAATTTCAGTCCCACCTGGTTTCCCTGGAACTTCCTAATGGCATATTCTAAAGCAAAGTTGAAAAGGAGTGGTGATAAAGCGTCCCCTTGTTTTAGACCATTCTGGATAGGAAATTTATCAGACAAATGTTTACCTACACGGACTTTACTATACGTTTCGTTTAAACACATTTTAATCAACCTAACTAGTTTCATGGGTATCCCAAACTCTATCAGAATATTGTACAATAGTTCTCCTAACTGAATCATGGGCTTTCTTGAAGTCTATGAATAGCTGATGTACTGTCTCATCGTAATCCCATTTTTTCTCCAATATCTGACGAATGCAAAAGATTCAATGAAGTTTATTAGTGAAAATATATATTCACATGGAAGAGATAAGATCTTTAGTCTCTTATACAGATCTCTACAAGAATTGCAGGATTTGACACCCATCATGGGTCTAACCATTTTCTCTTGCAATATAAATACCTTTCTGCTGTCAGCTGACTTATGCAAAAAACTATTCCATTCATCATTAATGAGTGTAAGTACACACACACATCCAACAATACAACGCACGTAGCCACAAGAGTAGAACACATCATAAGACACAATATACACACAACATTAGAAGCATAAGAATGACCCCCATGTGGATGATTAATAATACACAGGAATTTTAAAAATATGACGTATGAGATAATAGCTTTTAACAAGTTTTAAATACATAAACTTTATTATTATATAAGGACATATTAAAATTTAATATTATTTGTAAATGGACATATAAAGGCAAGCAGTGAAATGGTTAACGGATCGATACACCTGAAGATGGCAGCATACTGCCGAAACATGTAGTGTAGAAGTGGTAGATGGGATTGTATGCACTTGAAGACTGTTAATATATACACATTATGAGTGTAAGTATGCAAAATAAATTTATTTTAGAGTGTCAGTGTTGCAGATATACAACACAGATGTAACTGCATAACATGCACCACTTAGCTTTGGAACCAACTCATCGATATGTGTTATCATCAATTTGTAAGCCAGGGAATTTTGTGTTTATTGCCTTTTCCATATATATATATATGAAATAATGACAAACACTACACTGAGACATATGATGGCCATATATGGAGTTTTTCTATATACTACAGAGTGTAAAGAAATATATGTTACAATGCTTTGTGGTAGATAGATGGGTTCAATCTGATCATATTTTGTTAATACACCAATGTCCAGGAATGCTTTGTTTAAACGCTAGGGCCTCTTAAATGTGGAGGAGGACACCCTTACCTCTAACCTCTGTGGCTCACTGGTGACATTTACCTACCATTTCTCCCAGAGACCTTACGCGAGCTGATGGAATTTGTGCCTTTGGTGGTCCGTTGTGAAAAGTGATTGCAACATGATGGCACCCCGGCACACTGCAGTAATCTTGTCTGTGAGTATTTGGATGAAACCTTTGGCAACGGAGGGATTAGATGTGGGGGCCCAATAACCTGCCCCCTCACCCCCCTGACTTCACTCCACTGGATTTCTTTCTCTGGGGGTACATGCAAAGCCTCGTGTATGAGCCTTCAGTGGACACACAACATGATCTCGTGGCAAGAATAGCAGTAGCAGGTGGAACCATCTGGGAAATGCTGGGAAGCTTTCAAAGAGTTCAGCATAACATAGCCAGGCAACGCAGAACATGCAATGGTGTTGGCGGCCACCATTTTGAGCAACTTTATAATGTAAAACAACAATAATAGCCTCTAAAACTTTTGCATCCTACTGGAAACTTCTGTGGCCCTTAGTGCCAAAAGGAAGCATTTCTGGACATTGGTGTATTAACAAAATATGATCAGATTGAACCCATCTATCTAGCACAGAGCATTGTAACATGTATTTATTTACACCCTGTTTCTGTTTTATTACAAATGTGAATGGATACAACTGAAAAATGAAAGTACTTTAATCAGAAAACCTTGCTTACTTTAAAGAATAACTCATAAATCTGTACAACTTTCTCCTTCAGTTGTCTTTTCGAACCAGACCCACTTCTCTTTCGTGATGTCATGACAGCTATCTGAAGTTAGTTCAATCAAAAATACCTAGGAGAGAACACAGAATGCAAAATTAAAAAAAAAAGATATAAAATCCAAGCTGCGAGACCAGTCACAACACTATTCCCCAAATAATGCATTGACAGTTTTCAGACTATTCTGCCTGTGTACTTTTCAATATGGAAATACTGCCTGAAACTCAAAGTTTTGCAATAATCAGAGGCTGGTCCAGAAATCTCTGGTATACCATTCAGATTTATGTGTATTTTTACACATGCATTTTCTGCAGCCTGTATTCAGTAAACTGAGGCAGTAAAAGTTTCAATATTAATGATTATTTGATAATCAGCTGGTGTTTGCAGTAAATTTTATTTTACAACCAAATTATTACAGTATTTTTAGTTTCACAACATTAACCATTTCTACAACCAAATATACCTCCTGCAGGTAACACCAAAGTACAACAAGAACAACATTATGCCTGTCAGTTACATGTTTGATGGGCCTCGTATAATATGTCATATAGGTAATGCATGACACAAACTCTGTCCTAAGTACAACAATTTATTGTAGTTCTTTTGTCTTCTTTTCTTCTATACTTTTCTACTACTTGTTTCGGCCGTAAATGGCCATCATAAGGTGTATTCTCTCACGTAGCTGTTACATTGCATGTAGTTTAAAATTTAAAAAACACCAGCTTTCTTAATTGTTTATTTCTGTGTTGTTAATAGGTCCTGATATATCAGAATCCCCTTGCTGATAATTGTCAGATATATATAAAATCTTTGCTAATTTACATACGTCAATTTGATTTTTTTAATTTTGGTATTTTAAAATCTTCAATTTAAATTTTAAAAATTTTTTAAATTTAAAATTCACAGGGATACCTGCTCTAGGTCTACAGTGCTGCAGCGGCTACTTCTTGCTTTCAGCACTGTTCAGGTATTATCTGTAATACACAAATATTCGTATTACTATCTTATGTTCATTACATTATTCTTATATGTTTTATGCTGTTATTTGTACTTACTCTGTGTAGGCCCCTGTTTATCTTTAGTAAGCGTGCTGTCTGGTGTATTGTGCGCTGTGTTTTATGTTGGTGAGTGTAGGAGGGGAATGGGTAGTGGGGGGAGGGAGGTACCGTTAGTCTGTATAGATCTCGTGTATCGTTTGAAATATGGGATTGTGTGTTTCTATGTGTCTTGTCATTCGTGTGTAGGCCCTTCTTATTTATTTTATATATATGGTATTTCTCTAATGTATTCAAATGTCTACCCTTCTTTCCCATTGTTACAACATCCATTACGTCTGTTACTGTTCCGTATGCATGTCCCGTATTTAGTATGTGATTTGAGTATCCGGAATTGCTATTATTATTTCTAATATCATGTATATGTTCCTTATATCTGGTGTTAAATGTTCAGCCCATTTGTCCAATGTATTTCAATGGGCAATCTACACATTTCATTTGGTATATGCCACTTTTATTGTATTTATCTAATTGTGGTTTATGTCTGAGTATATTTTCTATTGTGATCCGTGCGCGAAATGCTACTTTTATCTGTGTATCTTCAAAAAGTTTTGTAATTTTTCTTACTTCTTTTGTACTATATGTAAATATGGCCCACTTTGTTTTTTGTTGTTGTTGTTCATCATTTGATTTTTGTTTTTGTTTTGTCTCATTTGGTCTTTTAATTATGTTTGTGTCATATCCGTCGTTATGTAGTATGTTTTTAATAGTGTTCTTCTCTATTTGTTTTCCTTTTTTGTTATTTGGTAGGTGTAGAGTCTATTTATTAGATAATTAATACCCGACAATTTGTGCTCGAATGGATGGCATGAACTGCTAGGTATTATGATGTCTGTTTGCGTGGGTTTCCTATATATTGCAAATTGCAAGCTATCTTCATTACGATGTATTGTTATATCTCGAAAGTTAATAGATTCTTGTTGTTCTCTTTCAATGGTGAATTTTATAGTTGGTTGCAATTCGTTAATTTCTTTGAGTGTATGTTCTATGTTCATTATTTTTTCATCATATATTATTAATATGTCACCCACATATCTAAAGCAAGCCACTATTTGTTGTTTTACTAGAATGGGATATATTTGTGTGTGTTCCATATATTGTATACGTGTATATGTTTCTGCTATTATTGCTGATGTTGGGGCTCCAATAGCTAGTCCATCTGTTTGTTTGTAGTATTCTTGGTCAATCTGAAAATAATTTTGTTCGAATACTGTTTTTAATATATGTATTATTTCTTTGTGGTTTTCTTTATCCATTTCATGGTTTTTCTAGAATATAGTGTTTATTATATTTATGGTATTTGTTTTCGGTATATTTGTATACATGTTTTCAATGTCAAAGGAACCTAGTCGCATGTTCTTATTAAGTTTAATAGTTTGTAAATCCGCCATTAAGTGGGAGGATTTTTGGACATTGTATGCGTATATTTGTATATTACAGATAATACTTGAACGGTACTGAAAGCAAGAAGTAGCCGCTGCAGCACTGTAGACTTAGAGCAGGTATCCCTGTGAATTTTAAATTGTAAAAATGTTTTAAATTTAAATTGAAGATTTTAAAATACCAAAATTAAAAAATCAAATTGATGTATGTAAATTAACAAAGATTTTATATATATCTGACAAATATCAGCAAGGAGATTCTGATATATCAGGACCTATTAACAACAGAGAAATGAATAAATAAGAAAGCTGGTGTTTTTTAAATTTTAAAGTATGTGCAGTGTAACAGCTATGTGAGAGAATACACCTGATGGCCATTTACAGCCGAACATGTAGTGTAGAAGAAAAGAAGAAAAAAGAACTATAATAAATTGTTGCATTTAGAATGGAGTTTGTGTCATACATTGTGTAGAGTGTTACAGGATGCTTAAATATAATACTGTCATATAGGTACTAAAAATTGTTACTAAGATATACCAACCTAAAAGTTTTATGCATAGCTATTAAGTGAAACTGGTAAATCAGAAGTCTCAAGGAGAAATAAATGTCAAGATAGCCCACATTACTGAACTTAACAATACAATTAACATATATGGGCCTAGCATAGTCAGTATAGTGACTAGCGAAGGGCTGGATGACTGAGGGGTTGGAGCTCAAGTCCTGGTAGGGTCAAGAATTTTCTCTTCTTCATGTCATCCAGACAAGCTCTGGGGTCCACCCAGCCTCCTAACAAATTCATATTGGGAGCTCTTTCCCCAGGGGTAAAGAGCAGAGGTGTGAAGTTGACCACTCACCTCTAGCTAGTGTCAAGGTCAAGAAAATACGGATCTATACATACGAGTATGTCCACCCCCCATATACCTTCATGGTGTAGTGCTTAATTAGTTAAGTGCAGGGACAAATTTACCTTTATGGGCCTCATTACCATACACCTGTACAACAGTATCTGTCATTACATTTTTCTCAAAATGTGTTTCATTACTTTACTATGCCAAAAACCACAAATGAAATCAAATGTATTAAGATAACCTAACATATCCTAACATTTTACAATATTCATAGACAGATAAGTGTAACAATATACATAGGTCTTAGAAAAATGTAGCAACACAAGTATATGTGTCTGTTGATAAATAATGTAACTATATCAAAACACTAGGCTAAAGATGCACAAGTGAATGATCACTATACTATAAACATATTCCCAGGTCACACTTTCATTTATTCATTCTTGAAATTATTACAGGTGGTTAACTCATTTTCTCTCTACCTGAACATGTGGTATTGCTCAACACAACATTGGAAGTAGACCTTCTTGCATGAAACATTTATTTGCTTTACAGATTTTGAGTTTCTTGGAGCAGCCATTTGAAAGATGCAGGCCAGATGAGCATGGAATGTTGAGGAATAAGGCAAAACCTTCACCTTCAACTTCATTTTTATCCATAACCATGGTATTGGTGCAGAAACTACAGTTTATTCAGTAAAAACAATGTCTGTGACAAAGATATTAGCTTTCTATATCAATGTCTGCTAATTATTTGGACCATATAGTACAGACCAAGTTTTTATACCTGACCTTTGGGCTTTGTAGTGGGACATTAATTCCAGCAGACAGGCAGCATGGTGCACTATAACTAAAGCTTCTAACCTATGCACACACTAAAATTGTTATCAAACTTCATGAACCTGACCAGATCCACTACACATTCTGCTGAGAATGGCCAGTTCAAAACACAACCACAGTGGCTATGATATATATATATTTTTTCTTTTTATACAAGACGGAAAAATTTCCGTTGCATGCAACAAGCATATCAAATACAGCCCTGATATACGCAATCGCCACATTATTCTCCAGAATTCATACCATCTTCGATTTCGTGATCGGGTGTTGGAAAGGTACAAAACAATGTTTCAAAATTAGTTTCAAACAATTTGTGGTACTCTATCTATAACTATTTCCAAACGAGTTTGTTTTTCTGCTCAAATTCCTGACTCATACATCAAAAGATATCAGACTTTGAGGGGTTATGTCGGTAAGTAAAATCCTTCTCATTTATTACGTGAAACGACTACAACTCACAATTTCTCTACATATTCATTACAGATCAACCGCTCTATGCCTCTTTTGCTTGTAGTTGAAATCTTTGCTGTCACGCGAATGTACTTCCATAATTTCGAAGGATGCATCATACCAAGGTCTGCATTTATTCAGGACCCTCCTCAAACCAGAGAGATTAAATACTACTTTTCGCCTCCATCGCCTTACAACATACATACACACAAACCAATTTTAAAAAAACATGCAAACAATGATAGCGTTTGGATTTTGACTATAACAGACGAAAAAATCAGATTACTTTACCATCAAGAAACACTATTTTATTCTACGCCTCCAAACCTTAAACTGCATACACAACACTCTTTACAATCAGTCTGAGAGTTAAAATTGACATTACATATTCGTATTCTTATTGCTTCGCTAGAATGGGATTAACATCACCCAAATTTCTGCTATACTCACTGATTATTTCATTGTTATGTTGGGGGAAATGAATTGTTGTTTTTTTTCTTCTGGTTTTTTATCCGTGAGTCCGAAATTATTTCCACGGAGTAAAGTCCTGCATGTGACATAGTCGCTGAACTGCCCGCCCCTGCCCGCAACCGTCGTTTATGGAGCCCTGCTCTGATGATCCCGCCTCTGGTGCCTGGATTCACCTGGACCCCTGACCCGAATTACAAGAACCAAGTCTACTCACATGCCCGTTTTTTTTTGTGCTGCCCACTGGGCCTCAAAGGCCATGTTGCTATTAAGACATTCCGAGTACTTAGGCCCCAGGGGCTCGGGTAACCCTTATCCAGATATTAGAGAAGTAGCTGCTATTCTTCGCCAGAATGCGAACGAGGCCGTGGTTGTCCGAACTATGCTTGGCGGACTTCACTCAGAGGAACGAAATCGACCGGTATTTTATGAAAGACCTGCACTTATACTGATCTTGATAGTGTACATTAAATATAATGATCATAGTATTCCAAGTCATGGTCGAATGGTAAGCCATCTTCTGTTGAAGCTAATACTACGATTCCTTCGTTGTTCTGTGCGTCAGTGGCGTCAGTGGCATTCTACCTTTGCAATTAATGACGGCATACTCGCTGGCTCGCCGGGACTGCCTTGCTGCGTTATTTACTTCAGTTTCACACGGCCGTCAAGCTTGTGCTGCCGTCATATGGCAGAAACGAGAATTATCTGCTTACATACGACACCATTCAGTAGTTTCTTAAAAAAAATACTGTTTTGGCATTATTTTCCTATTTGATTCATCGGTTCTTGTTCACCATATACTCTTTTATTATATACTAGTTTGTCTATGCAGAAAACTCTGCACGGCAGTTTAAGATGAATTTTTGTTGCTTATTTATTTAACAACTCTAGGCGCTTTTCTTTTCTCCTTGGCACTACAGCCCCAGTGGGCCTAGGCCTACCTCCATGAACTTCTCCGACTGTAGGCACTTAGGTTCACACATATATTGTACTTGTCGTCGGAACACATTATATGTCATCAATTTATGCATTTTGAGGCCTGTTCGCTCCTTTGTAAGAAATACACGAAATACAAACTAGCATATGTTGCCCCAGTTAAATGTAGCATCAAGGTAGGAAAGTAACAGTTAATTTTACACGGTGGCAGCAGGATCTGTACCCCTGTGTAGTCCCCCTCCCATCGAAATAAAAACGAAGAGCGCGAATTTTTTAATAGCTGAACGTTCATCAGCAGATCACTGTGTCCACGTGATCTGAGGCATGAAGTGTATTCTCCCTGAACACTTGAGTCGTGGGTTCGAATCCCACTCGAGGCATGGATGTCTGTGTGTCTTTATTCTGTGTTTGTGCTATACTGGTTGTAGGTGTTTGCCTTGCGACGGGCAAGGAGGCCTACCCACTGTGTATAGGATTGCGAAACTAAAAAAGAGGCCAGGGCCCAACAAAGGGCTGTAGAGCCATTGGTGAATGGTGAATGATGTATAAATGAACGACTATTAGCTTCTAAATGAGGACTATACACCATGGAGTTATTTCAGTTACTAGCTAATCCACAAGGACATTAATAAGCACTCGTAACGTACGAGTGCATGTCAAGTCAGCTCGAGCACAAGCAAAATGAAGCTTCGCCTGCGTCGATTAACTGCCCCAGAAGGTCAAGAGCACATACGAAAGACACGAAGCAATTGGATAATTGGTGCACGAGACGCCTTGGTGTCTCATCTTGGTATCTGCAAGATTGGTTGCTAAGTAACGAGACTAGACAGAAGATCTTATTATGTCAAGGAAGCCTGCGTTCTCACACGTTTCGAGCACCCAGAATACATACAAAATTACTGATTTTGCGACACTGATTAGATAAAATGCGTTCATAGAAAATGGAGTTGACAAATATATATACACCTCCTCAGATATTACATTGCGTAAAAGCATAAAAAACTTAATTTGTATGTTACTAAAGGCGCACCATATCTAAAATATTTCAAATAAATTATTAACAAAAATGCCCCAGAATAATTTTACAACATTGTTACCGCGACTGAACCTTAGTTGATCGGCGTTGCAGATCGTGGTTTGGAGCTCATGGCGGACAATTTGATCTTCTCAAATAAGAAAAACTTGACGTTTCTGTACTAGTATTTTTGCTTGCTGTTGTAGCTTTCGTTACTGACTTCCTCTAAATTAAAAGTTAAGGCAAAAAAGAAATGTGGTATCATTATTCTGGAACCTTCTCTATGTATAATTTTTGTATATGTATATACACATACCGCCTCTGTGGTCTAGTGGTCAGAGTTCCTGGCTACAGATCCAGAGTTCCGGGTTCGAAGTAGTGGGACTGGAACGGGGTCCACTCAGCCTCGTGAGATAATTCAGGAGCTATTTGAAGGAAATAGCGGCTCCGGTCTAGGAAACCGAAATTAACTGCTGTGGAGACTCGTTGTGTTGACCACGCGACAATTTCTATCCTCTAAAATTGGCACTAACTTCGCCCACAAGCGACGGTCGCTCGGTCGGTATAGTTCGCTTGCGGACTAAAGTCAATTAAAAAAATATATACATATATACTAAACTCGGTATTATGCGAAGATAAATAGTAAGTTTCTTGCTCCGCTCGCTTTATCGCCATAGAAATATTCTCTGCAAATTATATTCATAAAAAAATTTAACTGAGATCCGTTGATCTCTTTCAGATGAAACATGAGACAATTAAGAACTCTCATTAGACTGTAGGAGTTGACTTCAGCTGGGGGGGGGGGCTTAATTTGTACCCATCGACGTGTAAAACGACATTGCGCTCCGTAGCATGCCCTCAGAATATGCGTATTTTCCACGTGTCTGGTTCACTCTGTACACTGAGTTCTTCTAGTGATGCATAATTAATTACGGAAACACTCAAGTATTGTCTACAGGCCACGGAGTTACCATATAAAAAGGAGAAACGTGACAGTCCATTCGGTATAGTAGCCTGCTACGGGATGGACGACTTAGGGACTTAATTTTTTTTAATGCTAGTGGGGCGGGACCAAATCCCTTGTACTGCGGTCACTTCTGGCCTATTGTACCAGCCCCAGATAATAGGTAAGGGTGATTGTGGAGCAATTGGCGGAATGAAGATTGGCAGGGGAAACCGAAGTACTCTGAGCAAACCTGCCCCAGCGCCACTTTGTCCACCACAAATCCCACTTGACCAGACCCGGGATCGAACCCGGGCCGCCGCAGTGGAAAGCCAGCGACTAACCGCTTGAGCTATGACGCGGCCCACTTAGGGACTTAGGAGCTGTGGTTAATTTCCCGTCAGGGCTAAGAGCTTCCAGACTGACTCTTGAGGCCGACCACGCCCCTATCCAATGACCAATGCTGTTTATTTCCCCGAGGGTTATGCAACCTGAAATGAATCTGACCACATAACTGCCCATGTAATGTCGAAACGAAGCATACAATATGCAGTGATGTTCAATTAAGTACAGAGACAATTTTTATCTTACTCTTACGTGTATCGCGCGTCACCAGTGCGGCACATAGCTTTCTTCCCCTGGGTTTCGGAATCTTATAACCTGTTCTGTAGGATTTGACGTTTTCAAAGAGGTGGTTATGAACAGTTCTACTTTATGGGACACAACGGCATGCAGTCCGTTGAAGTTTAACCGTTGTTTCGGAGGAACGTGCTGCTTCCATCTTCGGGGTTGAAAAGTAAGCCAAATAAGGAAGTAGCATGAAGCATGCAGAAAACAGTCGCGGGGGCGACATGTTCCACTGAAACGTCGATTGACTTTCAATGGGGTACACTGGGTTACATAGCAAGTGATAAAAATTGTATCCTACTTAATTATAGACATGTGGTAGTTTTCCTTGGCAGAGGACCGGTCAGTCACACAGCCACTCCTTACATAGGACAATACAGATAGAACAAGAAGTTCTGGGAAGAACTAATCGTCTATTTTCCTTTCGTACGACACGGACCGCATACAAAACGACTAGTCCAAAAATTCTTCTATGATTGCCCTTGTGTTCGTTGCAACGGTAACGATTTTAACTAGCCGTTGCCTAACAACGGTAGGGAATACACATAGAGACACACAGACTGTTGTGAGGGAATCATGAATTACGCTGCTGAGATTGGCTCAGGTGCCACGATAAAGAAACCAGGTTTTATAAAGATTGGTTCAGGTATTCAAAAATTAATGGAGGGGATACACAGACAGCAAGGTGATCGCATAAGTCTAGTTTTCCCTTTTCAGAACAAGGAAAGTAGACTAAAAATCGCAGAGCACAAATTCCTCGGTCGGGATCCGAGTCCTCGATGAAGTGTTCGTGCAGTAGAAAGCAGTATTTGCCACAGAACGTGCGGCCATTTCTCTGAAAAAAAAAAATCCTTGCAATTCAGGAACTGAGACGTCACACGGCAGAATATTCCCGTAAGATGATGATTTGAATTTCTCGTCCTGTCAGAAGTCTTAACTTGGCATTAAACAACAGTCGGGCCTCTGTCGTGTGATTCATTTGGACCTAACGTATGATTACTCTCTGCTTGCTGATATGACGTCGACAGACACGAAGAACAAAGGTTAGTGGAAAGTTCATTTGAGTGGCGAGCAAGTCATATCTGTTCCACATGTTAATGCGCCATGTTTCCAGTGCAATGAACCAGCTGGCCACTGTTCCTTATATTTTGCCTCTCATCTCTGTGACATTACGCGGAGATATGTGGTACTTACTCACATCTTAACCTTAAACTATTTCTATTGCAGGAAATATTCTACCAGTCAGGAAGACGATGAATATAGGATGTAGCAGTAGTATTAATTGTGATAAACTTATGTTTAACTAATTAACCTGTAGATTATATTTAACCAGACAATTTTGTGGATATAAATTTAAGCACGTCCATATTAATAACAGTATTAATCACGGAGGCTGTAATACTGCACCCACGAGCCTTATTGCCAATGTACCAAATTGGGATTTAGGTCTAAAGCAGAGACTCGCCATTGAAATTCAGAAAGTTGTTCTTCTCCGAACATGTCACTTCTGAAAAATTATAGATCTTGGGGCTGTTTTCTGCCGTATTTCAGACAACATAATTAATAACTTCAATTAATAACCCTAATAATAATCAGTGGGTCCCTTATCACAAAGGAATGTCACGTCACCAAATTGTAGAGAATGCCGTCTGCAGATTTGGGGATTAACTGCTAAGGCATGCAATCACGCACATCCGAAAATTTTGGACTGGACGTTTGGTTAAAAAAGCGTTCAAGAAGTTTCATGTTCCGAAGGAACTGTTGAAGTTAAACAGGAACCAGCTACGATGGGTGGTGGGACTACTTACAGGACACTGTCACCTTAAAGGACACCTCTTCAACTGGGACTAAGTGATAGTTCCACTTGTGAGAGGTGTCAATAAGAAAATGAAACAGCC